GAGGTTTGGGGTTCTGGGGGTGGGTCTTCTGCCAGGGTGTGGGAGGGATGGGGGGGCTTCAGGGGTGTTGAGAGGGCTGAGGGTTCAGGGGGGGGCTTAGAGAGGGGGGGCAGGCACCGGTGCTCCCTCTAAGGTGTGGAGTCCTGTGAGCAAAACTTCTACTTTGGGAGCTCCTGGCATTACAGTGGTGAGCCAGGCGATCTGGCTGCCGCCTAAACCGGTTGGCTCTAGGGCCCTCCTTCCTGAGCAAAGACAAAAATGGGTGAGACGGTGGCTAAAAAACTGTGAGCTAGCTCACACTGACTCAGCTTAGAGGGAACACTGGCAGGCACTGGTGTTCCCTCTAAGCTGAGTTAGGGGATGGCTGCCAGGAAGGATTTGTGGAGGTAGAAAGATCTGTGTGAGGCTAGAGGAGTGAGAGGAAATTGGGGCTGTGAAGGTATTGGGGGGGGGCTGAAAGGAGGTTGCAGAGTTCAGTGGGGCGCAGCTTGGGATTTGGGATCAGTTCTGTGTCCTGTGGCACCTGAGTCTTTGGAGTGTGAAGTTAAGGGAGGTTTTGTATAGGATGGGCTTGGGGGGGCTCTGATGGGCAGGGTCCCTGGGGTAAAATGGAGGTTGTTTCCAAGGCTGCGGGTCGTGGGGTGGGAGGCAAGAAAGATGGGGTTTCTTGTGGAGCTTTGGAGATGAGAAGGGCAGGGAAGGTGGAGGCGCCCCCCTACAGGGAGGCATGTGGGGTTATGGAAGGGAATTTGGGGAGGCTGTGTAAGGAGTGGGAAAGGAGGGGTTTGGTAACGGAGTGGGGAGGCCTTGGGGTGATGGAATGTAAATGGGGGCAGCTGCCACAGGGAAGAAGGAGTGGGGTTTTCTAGTTCTTTGGAGGTATGTAAATATGGCTCTCTGGGATTTGGGAAGGCCAGGAAAGGTGGAATATGAAGAGTTCCACCAGAATTTAAAAAAAAACTTGGGTTGGGGGACTGGATTTCTGAACTGTCCCGTATCTGTTTTCTAGCATTGGTTTCTGTCATCGATCCAGCTCAAGGGCCTGAGGAAACTGAGGGGGCAGATTAAGCCCTTTCCTGTTTAGGCACCATGTCCACCTTCCGCCAGGAAAATGTGGAAGACCATTACGAGATGGAGGAAGAGCTGGGAAGGTGAGCCAAGTGGACCACTTTGTGCACTTCGTCCGCATACACCATTTAATGAGGTTTTTATTTGCCCGCTCATCTCATGAGCTCAGGGCTTTCTCTTCCTCTGTTTTTCCTTCAACAACCCTGTGAGGTAGTTTAGGCTGAGGAACTGACTGGCTCAAGGTTAATGGCTGACTGGAAACTTGAACCTGAGTCATGCTGATGCCCTAGTTACCGTGTCATACTGGCTATCTTGGGGGTGGGGGGTGGAGTAAAAGCCTGCTCCCAAACTCCAGATTATTCTGTGCCCCCTTTACTGCTCTGTTAATGCTGGCAAGGCTCTAGAAAGTGTTTCCTGTGAGGACTGTGAAAGGGCTTGGGGGAAGCGGCCAGCAACGGAATGTTCACCAGCTGCATGTAGCTTCTGCAGGGGGAGTGAAAGGGCAGCTTAAGTTTAGAGGCATCTTTCACAGGCAAGTAGGGGCACAGAATAAGCTTTGTTGGCAGGAATGCTTCGGTACAGGAACCGATGGGAGACTGAAGGAGGAGCGAAGTTCACCAATTTGAACACGCTGGCCTGATTGCATAGTATATTGGCTAATGAAATCCCTGTGAATTTAGGGGTGGGTAGCAAATGAAGTAAAGCTGCTCTGATTTCATGCTTGTGTTTCTCCAAAAACAAAAGGTTGCTTTGGCGCCTGCAACATTATGGCTTTCGTGATGCAAGATTTGAAGGCTAGGGCATGATTCGTATTTCCTGTCCCGGCAGTGGCTGTCCCTCGAGTGTGCTAAGAGAAATTGTTTTTTTCCCTTATGCTCAGAAATATGTATGTGTTGCAATCCCAAACTGTGATTGTAAATTTAGGCTCAGTGTATTTTATTTTACGTGTGTTATCCATGTTGTAAGCCGCGCATTGGGGTGTGTGTGTGTGTCAGAGTCCTAGGCTTTATCCTAATAGCTCCACATTGCCGAATGCTGTGTTCTGGGGATGTTAAGCATTGCGGGAAGCCAAGACTGTGGGGGGGAGGGGGAAAAGAAAGGATGTATACGAAAATGATATATAGTATTGAACGTGTTGTTATATCCTGAATAATAATAAAAAATTGTGCAAAAAACAAACAAAAACCCTTGCAATTAATCAAGGTGGGGTAGCCGTGTTGGCCTGAAGTAGCAGAACAGAGTTGGAGTCCAGGGTCCAACAAAGTTTAATTCACGGTATAAGCTTTTGGGTGCATGCATACTTATCTCAGGTATCTGAGAAAGTGTGCATGCACCCAAAAGCTTATACCGTGAATTAAACTTTGTTGGTCTTAAAGGTGCCCCTGGACTCAAACTTTGTTCTCTTTGCAATTAATGTCGTGTAGAAGATGGAGCGGATCTATTCTCTCTTGCTCGGGATTGCAAGACTAGATCTAATGGGTGGAATATGCAAGGGAGTCGTTACCGGCTAAATATCAGGAGAAACTTCCTAACTGTCAGAGTGGTTGAGCAGTGGAACAGTCTGGCTTGGGAGGTGGTGGGTACTCCTTCGCTGGACGTTTTCAAGAGGAGGCTGGACAACCATCTTCCGGGTATTATGTAGGTATGTAGGGCTGTCTTTTGGCTCTGCTCCTGCATAGTGCAGGGGGTTGGACTAGATGACCTGCAAGGTCCCTTCCAACTTGAACATTCTATGATTCTTTGATAATGTACTGCTGGTTACACTGCCTTACTCCAAAGGACATCCCAAGAGCTACTTCCTCATACCTTAAGGTCCACCTGCATCCAGCTTCTGGCAGTGCCTTATAAACAGGGCCTCTAGTTTTCAGAGAGAAACTCCCTCTCAATACGGTGGTTCTAGTAGGGAGCCAGTGTGGTACAGTGGTCAGACTAGGATCCGAGAGGCTCCAAGTTCGAATTTCCCTCTGCCGTGGTAGCTCGCTGGTTGATCTTAGGCCAGTCACACAAACAACTTAAACCACCTCACAGGGTTGTTGTGAGGATGAAATGGAGGAGAGGAATCATAGAATTAAAATGTTGGAAGGGGCGTAAAGGCCATCCAGTCCAACGCTCTGCATTGTATGACCTAAAGCATCCACAGGAAATGATAGTAAGCCACTTCGGGTCTCCAGTGGGGGGGAAAGGCAGAATTTAAATGAAGTAAATCAATAAAATAGTAATAAACACAGGAAGGCAGTGGCTTGTTTCCCTAGCAATTGGTACTCGGAGGTAGACTGCCTTTGGGCATGGGGTCTCTGCTGAGCTGTTATGGCAAACAGCTGTCAGTAGACGTGCCCTTCAATCCCCATTAAAGCCAACAGCCCTCACCACATCTTGTGGCAGGGAGTTCCGTAAGTGACTCAGAGGAGTCTGAATCTGGAGACATCCAAGGCATGTTTGCTTCACAGTGAGCCCCACTGGGAGTCACAAAGCGATCGGGGCTGGAAAAAATATGAATGATAAACCTCTGCATCTGTTTCTCCCCCACTTCCCTTGGAGGCAGATCACAAAGCCTTGTGTCCGTGGGGTGGGAACAGACCCGCACGTGACTCAGACTGGGCAGGCGGGTTTCAGAGATTATCCCCGGCCGGTTTTGTTGACGGGCGACAGAACTAAAACCTGCCCGGCTGCCTTTGCTCATCGTCTCCTGGCGCCCTTATATAGGAAGGCAGTGGCTCGCTTGGCATGATGTCACCGTTGGGAAATGTAAATAACGAACCAGGAAAAATCCTTCCAGTTTTCAAAGCAGCTGCAGGAGGTATTTTCTTTCCCCTCCTTTTGCACACAATGAGGAGCTGGTCTCTGAGCTACGGATTAGGAAGGCCACAGACTGGAGGAAGCCCAGGACAAGTTGATTCCTCTCAGCTGGGCCATGGAGTAAAGGTCTGCCTTTTGCTGCTGTAATGACTAAAATGGAGCCTCCATGTTCAGAGGCAGTATCCCTGTGAACACTTATTGTGTAGAGAGGTTTTGGTTTCCAGGCTCTGGGGCATCTGCCTGGCTATTGTGTGAAGTGGGATACTGGATTGATTTCACCCTCATTGGTCTAGACCAGAAGTCGACGTTTCCCCCTGTTGTTGTACTAGGGATGTACATTCGGTTTGTCTGAACCGAATGCACCCCCAAAAATGGCCCATTCAGACCCCTTTCAGGCTGCTGCCAGCCGATTCAGATTCTCTAATCTGAATTGGCTTGCTGCCGAATTACCGCCGAATTTCGGCGGCAATTTGGCCCCATTATATCCTATGGCCCATTGAAGTCAATGGCGAAAACATAGGGTATATTCTGGGGGCTGGAGGGGATGGGGTTTGAGGGAGAGGCTCCAAACTCACAGGGTAGCTGCTGGAGCCTCTCCCCAAGATACCAACCAAGTTTGAAGAACATTGGACCAGGGGGTCCAATTCTACGGGCCCCCAAACAGGTTGCCCCTATCCCCTCCATTGTTCTCTATGGTGGGAAAAAAGTTACTTACGGTGAGAAGAAGAGAGCTGTGTTTCTCGAAAGCATATGCTGCAATAAGGTTTTTTGGTCTTAAAGGTGCTCCTGGACTTTTAACTCTTTGTCCTCAGTGTGTGTGCGTGCGTGTGTGTGTGCACGTGTGCACACATGACCAAGCACAGACCGTGACATTTACCTTTCTTGAGAATCTGTCTCCCTTCTAAAAAAAACAACACCCACACACCAAGTTGATAGTCCACCTGATTGTGAACCTGTACTTGGAGGTACACAGTGGGAAGCTAAGCGAAACACCATGAGACGCTGTTTTCACGCTCCGCCTCTCTTCCTTCTCCCCAGCGGCCAGTTTGCGATTGTGCGGAAGTGCCGGGAGAAGAAGAGCGGGCTGGAATACGCTGCCAAGTTCATTAAGAAGCGCCGCCTGTCCTCCAGCCGCCGCGGGGTGAGCCGGGAAGAGATCGAGCGAGAGGTGAACATCCTGCGGGAGATCCAGCACACCAATATCATCACCCTCCACGACATCTTTGAGAACAAGACCGACGTGGTGCTGATCCTGGAGCTGGTCTCGGGAGGGGAGCTCTTCGACTTCCTGGCCGAGAAAGAGTCGCTGACGGAGGAAGAAGCCACGCAGTTCCTCAAGCAGATCTTGGACGGGGTTTATTACCTGCATTCCAAACGCATCGCCCACTTTGACCTCAAGGTGAGATCCCAAAGGCACCCTGAACATGTTTTATCTAGGCTATTACACCTTTGTTTAGGGCATAAGAGGAGCCCCGCTGGATCAGACCAGTGGTCCATCTAGACCAGTTCCTCTGGACAGCCAAAAACCAGGGCACAGAGGCTAAGGAATTCTGTTACTTCAAAGCACTGGGCTTCAGAGGTTTACTGTGTCTATAGAGGCTCTCTTTGGTCACTGTGGCTAGTAGCCAGTGATAGACCTCAGTTTGGTGTAGTGGTTAACAGCGTGGACTCTAATCTGGGAGAACCGGGTTTGATTCCCCACTCCTCCACATCCTGGTGTGTCCTTGGGTCAGTCACAAGTTCTCTCAGAGCTGTTCTCTCAGGAGCAGTCCTCCAAAGAGCTCTCTCAGCCCCACCTACCTCACAGGATGTCTGTGGTGGGGAGAGGAAGGGAAAGGAGATAGCCACTCTAAGGCTCCAATATCATCTTCTTCTGTCTCCGTGACTCTGCCTTACCCAATTGAAAGCAATCTGTGCTTGTGGCCAACATTTGTTCCATTGGCAGGGATTCCACATTTTAATTACACATTGAGTAAAGAAGTATTTCCTTTTGTCTGACCTGTACCTATCGCCCATTGACTTTGTTGGGTGCCCTGGTGTTCCAGTATTATGGGAGAGGAAGTTCCCTCTGTCTCCTTCCTCCACCCCATAATTTTATCAGCCTCTTAGCATATACTCCCATAGTCTTTCCTTTCTAAACTAGACAGTCCCCAAATTTGTATTTAATCTACTAAAAATGTATAGAAGCAGAATACGCATATCTCAGTATGACCCCCAAGGCTGCTAGGAAACAAGAATCCAACACGCGCTGTAATAAAATCCTCAAAAGATACAGTATGAGAAGGGAGAATACTCCAGACAGCAGAGTTATCGCCATGCTTGAATACCAAAGGAATTCAAGGAAGATAAGATTTCTGTCTTCTTAACCTTTTAAAAGGGGTGGCCTCAAATTTATAACTCCAGGGAGGGTATTCTGCAGAATGCCTCATTTCCAACAGTGGGGACAGATGGAAAATGATCCTCAGATAAAGGCTGGTCACTGATCTGGGGGCGCTTGATAGTTTCCTAGAAAACGAATGGAAACTGTAAGCCTCCCCCTCCCGCCACCAGTGTATTGATATTGCATGTTGCAGTCTACTTTAGGATGGGCAGCAAATACCTCAAGGAAAAAGTTGAGCAAGCCTGCTCTGCCGTGTCTGTGCAGGATTCAGGAGTAGGACATGCATCCTCCCCCTTGCCCAGCGTGTTTAAAGAAAGGGTTCCTCAGATTGAACTGTCTTGGTGATCTAGGCCAAACGTTTGTACCTGAAGAATTTGCATGTTTCTCAAAATAGAAAGCCAGCTCTCCATGTCTGTTTACTGGTGGAACGGTGGGATAGGGGGTGTGCAAACGTTGCCCGCCCCTCAAATCTGGGCAGCCGAATAGTCATGTTATGCAGGTTGTCTCTGAGTGATGCGAATTGTGCGTCTTAATCCTTGCATTCGTCTACCGGTTACTTTGGGTGCTTGGCTCCCCCCAAGATTACAGGAAAGCTTGGCAGAACCTACTTTTCCATAAGGCTGTTCTCCTACCAGGAGGAGGTCCTCCACTTTAAGCATAATTGTACCCATTTCTATCAACCTCCCCCCCCCCTTTCGTTGCCTCCTCCCCCTAAGGATGTAGCCCAGGCTAGCCCAGCCTTACCAGATCTTGGAAGCTAAGCGGGGTCAGCCGTGGCTAGTATTCGGGTGAGAGATCGCCAAGGAATACCAGGGTCATGATGCAGAGACAGGCAGTGGCAAGCCACCTCTGAGTGTCAGTCAGTCAGTCAACCTTTATTGGCGTAGTTAAAATACAAGATGGATCACATTTTAAGGTGCATATAAAAAATATAAGTATGTGAATATAAAACAGTCAACCCGCCAGGGCTTTGACCTTGTGTTCGTGCTACAGAGAAGGTAATGTGAGGGCGAAGATCTGATAAAAGGAAAGGTATAAGTCTCTCTTCAGGTAGATTGTGCTTATTGTGCGGGAGGGGGGCTGATTAGAACATCCCGAATCCTGTTATAAAATTCACAGCTGGGCAGGATGTGAGCAATCGATTCTGGGTTCCTGCTGTTACATGGGCAGGTCCTTTCAAGGTAGGGGGTATTGGTAAATCTACCGTAAAGGACCTTGGATGGTAGGGCATCAAAATGTGCTCACGTAAAAGCTCATCTTAGTGATGGAGCGGTGAGCTGTGAAAAATAATCAGCTATAAACCCATTTCTCGGGATTATGTTAAACTTCAGAGGGGAAGGGGTGAGTCCAGAACAGAGAGTTTGCTTTTCAGTATCGCACATTCTCTTCCTCAAGGACCTGAAAATTAGGGATTCACCTGACAGAAGCAGGGAGTCAAGGGGGATGCCAATTGATTGTATTTTTTCCAGAACTGAGTTTGTCCAATTGGATGTGAATGTTTCTGATAATAGCAGGTGAACATGGCTATTGGGTTTTGTTCTGCACACCTCTGAATGTCTCTTGCCTTGAAAGCCCACCAGGGCTCACCATAAATCAGCTATGACTTGACAACACTTTCCATCTTCCATAAAGGGAGTTAGAGCCTGAATGGTTGGCAGCTGGCTGAATACCTCTATTTTATTATTATTTTTACTTACCCCGCTAGCCTGAAAACATCATGCTGCTGGACAAAAATGTCCCCAACCCTCGGATCAAGCTGATTGACTTTGGGATTGCTCACAAGATTGAAGCAGGGAACGAGTTCAAAAACATTTTCGGCACCCCAGAATTTGTGGGTACGTGCAGAAGAAGGGATGTTTTGGAATTATGCCCTCAACAGCAAATGGGATGGGAAGGGGGAGGGTGTTTTCTCCTGCCTTTGTTGAACTGCAGTAAGTTTGCAGTTTTGAAATGATCATCTCAACAGTTCTTTCTCCTCCATATTTGGGCGAGCTTCTTTTGTTAATGCGAGATTTTCTTGCATTTTGTTAATGCAAGCTTTTTTGTTAATGCAATATTCCCTCCCACCCTGAATTTCTCCCCAAAGCTCCAGAAATTGTGAACTACGAACCGCTGGGTTTGGAGGCTGACATGTGGTGAGTGAAATCAGTTTTGAGTATAAACCGGAAGGTGGTGTTAAGTTGTAAGTGGGCGAATGTATGAAGCTGCCTTCTATTTCGCCGGGCCATTGTGGGCCCATCTAGCTCAGCAACTTGACTGCTCCCGCCAGGTGGGGGCTCTCCAGGTCCTCAGGCAGAGATGATTCCTGTAACTGGAAACACTGGGGATTGAACCAGGGGCTTTCTGTGTGCGATGCAGACACTCTGCCACTTGAGGCCCTCCCTGATGCAAGAGCATGGAGAGCAGCCACAATTCAACATTATGCTCAGGAGACCGACACCTACTGGAAATCCTGGGCCCAAAGAGTGTCTGACGTGGTGGAAATGCACTGCCTACTAACATCAGGGCCCTGCTGTGGGATCTGTTCCAGTGCTACAGAGCCTGCAAGGCAGTCCCGCCGGGCATACAGCAACGGGTTTAATGGTCATTAATGGTTCTTAGCAGGAGCTGCGGTGGCTCAAGTGGTTAAGACGCTGAACTGCAGGCAGTTTGAGACCCGGGTGCCGCATGATGGAGTGAGCTCCTGTCTCTGGGCCCAGCTCCTGCCAACCTAGCAGTTCGAAAGCAAGAAATTGCAAGTAGATAAATAGGTACCACTTCGGTGGGAAGGTAACAGCGTTCCGTGCGCCTTGGTGTTTAGTCATGCCAGCCACATGACCACGGAGACGTCTTCGGACAGCGCTGGCTCTTCGGCTTTGAAACGGAGATGAGCACCGCAACCCTAGAGTCGGACTCGACTGGCTTTCGAGCAAGGGAACCTTTACCTTTACCATTTTAATGGTTCTTAGCAGTTTTAACATCTAGCCAACTTTTAACTGCTTTTCATTCCCTTTCCCCCATGCTAATGTAAATTGAGGGGGTCAGGAATTTATATTATGGCGTTGTGCAGATGTTCGGTTTTATGGATTGAGATTTTAGATTGTGTATTACATTTATATGTTTTTTTATGGATTTTGTTGTGCACCGGCCTGTGCCTGCTTGAGGGGAGGGCGGTATAGAAGCCTAATGAAATAAACAAACATATGCCGCAGTGTGCTAGAGGAGTTTCTTGGCCTGTGCAAGGTGGTGGCTTACAACTTAATGTGTGCCCGAGGCTTCCTAATTTTTCCTCTTTTTCCCCCTTTTGTAGGAGCATCGGGGTCATCACGTACATCCTGTGAGTCTGATTATAAAGACACCCAATTGCTTAAAGTGATGTTTCCATACTGCGCAGGGGGCTGGGAAGGAAGGGTTTCTTTTGAGCTTTCCCCCCCACCTGGTACCTTTGTGTGGGCGAGGTCAGGTGCCAAGAGCAAGGGTTGTATCCTGCCTTCCTGCAGCGCACTGCACAAGTGTTGCAGTCACTGACGGTAGTGTTAGGATACAGTCCCCCCATCTCCCTGCATGCTCAATGCTCCCAAAGAAAACAGTGTTTTGTGAGGCTCTTGTTCCAGTGGAGTATTGACAAGACGGTTTCTTCCTGGGCCGTGCCCCATGCTGCTTATTGTGCCGTTAGGGTTTCCTGTCTTGGTTACAAAAACCCTCTGGCCTTATCTTTCCATGTAGCCTTTGCCCACAGGTAGAGGAAAGGGAAGAGGGTATAAAGTGCTAAAATACTGCCTGCCGAGGGCAAGGCTCCCTCTAAGCTGTAGAGTCTTGTGGGCAAAAATTCTATTGTTGTGAGCTCCTGGCATTAAAGTTGTGAGTGAGCCATTTGGCTGCTGCATACATGGAGCCATCCCTTCCTGAGCGAAGACAAAATGTGTGAGCTGGAAGCTAAAAAACTGTGAGCTAGCTCACACTAACTCAGCTTAGGGGGAACATTGGCCAAGGGGCTTTACCCAGGGCAGTGATTTTACCATGAACAGTGGATCACAAAGCTTGTGAGGAGTGGCTTGTTAGTCTTAGCAAGGTGGTGGCTTTGCCACTGCGGTTAGGAGAGCAACGGGGCGCCAGCCATGACGTCTTCTTTTCTCCTCGACCCGCAGTTTGAGTGGGGCCTCCCCCTTCCTGGGCGAAACGAAGCAGGAGACTTTGACCAACATCTCTGCTGTCAACTACGACTTCGACGAAGAGTACTTCAGCAACACCAGCGAGCTCGCCAAGGACTTCATTCGGCGCCTGCTGGTCAAAGATCCCAAGTAGGTGACTCATGTGGATCAGGGAGGGGGAGGATAGAGAGGGGAGGAACAGTCAGTATGGAGCGTTAGCAGATTTTGGGGTGCCAGGGTCCATCGGGGCAGTTGAACTCTGGCATAGCCTTCAGCTGAACTCTTGCACAGGCGAGCTTTCAGATCAAAACCGTGCAGCCAGAATGGTGTAGTGGTTAGGAGCGTGGACTCTAATCTGGGAGAACTGGGTTTGATTCCCCACTCCTCCACATGCAGCTGCTGGTGTTACCTTGGGTCAGTCATAAGTTCTTTCAGAGCTGTTCTCTCAAGGGCAGTTCTCGAGAGAGCTCTCTCAGTCCCACCTACCTCCCAGGGTGTCTGTTGTGGGGAGGGGAAGGGAAAGGGATAGTCAGCCGCTCTGAGACTCCTTCGGGTATTGAAGGGCGGGGTATACATCCAGTCTCTTCCTCTTTCTTTTCTTCTTCTTCTGTTGTGCTCTGGGATTTTTTAAAAACCCTTTCCAGGACTGGAGAGAAGATGTGAAACATAGCTGAGGTTTGATGTAGATCGTAATCGCTGTGTTGGTCTGACAGATCTAGAGGAACCGTAAGGCAGGCAATATCTTGGACCTGCTAGTGGGGAAATCGTGATAAGAATACATGCATCTGTGTTCCATAGGACTGTGGACAGGGTGGACGTTCAGGATGAACCAAAATAGGAGGTGTTCTCAGAAGCCAGTGCTTCCCCTTCCTGTTCAAGCTCCAAAGAAGGGATGCAAACTGGAACTCAGAATCCAAAAGTATCCTGGACCCTTACTGGCCTCATCTGCTAGAACACAAATAACATAAATTTGAGACTTCTGTGAAGAGAAAGTGCAGGGTTATAATTCTGAAGTCACTGTTTAATGTTATGGCACAAACAAATTTACATGCTACAAACACATTTGTAATGTGTGGGTTTCCAGGTAAATCCCTGTTCTGTGCAAATCCGTCTTTTGGGTACTGATTTACCAGTATGTCCTTAGAAAGCTTGTTTCCCCCCCCTTTCCCCCCAGTTCTGTTTAAATTGCAGCTGTCCTTTAACATGACAATATTATTTATTGATTAATAGTCCACATTTCTTGCTGAGCCGTGAGGCAGCTTCCAACCATAAAGAAGTTGCAGAGAGGACTAGGGTTACAGAGTTAGAGGACAATGCAACAAAAGACAGTCTAAGGCAGGGGTGTCAAACATGTGGCCCGGGGACCAGATGAGGCCCCTGGTGGGCTTCTATGAGGCTCACAGTGGAACTGGCTGTCTCCTGCTGCTTCTTCCAGTTCTGCTGCTGCTGCATTATTGTAGTTTGCTTTGCCAGACTCTCTCAATCACTCAGGAGAGATAGATAGGCAAGCTTCTGTTCCCTGCACTGGCTGAGGCTCCCCCCCTTCCCCCTTCCAGGGGGAGGGAGGGAATGAGCCAGAGCTTGCTTCCGGGCCAGGCTGCCTCAATCACACAGAAGAGAAAGGCAAGCCTGTCTTCCCTTCCATTGTCTGAGGCTCCTCCCCAGAGGGAGGAAGAGCTTGCTTTGCTTGGCTGCCTCAATTGCATGGGAGAAATACAAAGCACCTTTAAGACCAACAAAGTTTTATCCAAGGTATGAGCTTTTGTGTGCCTTGCTACAGTGTGTGTGTTTTGGTGGTCTTGTGCTGTGGCTCTCCTGGGTGCAACTGGGTTCCCTCCCCCTCATGATCCAGTCTTGCTCAGTAAGAAAATAATGTGAACTATTTAGATTAGGAATAACAACAAGCCAGTGAGGGGGATTAAACTGAGAGTGTATGTCCAGACCAAGTTCACCCAGCACATTTCCTTTGGGGATTTTGAACTTAGACTTCCCAGATAGTAGCTGATACTGACCACTGAGGAAGACTATAGTTTTGTAGACAAACACATAGCCCTCAGCCTTCTCATGTTCTTAACCAGCACATAAAGCAATTTTTGTACAAAAGCTTGCAATGCCCAGCCATTTCATGTTTCCCCCTGGGCCCTAGGCTCAGAACTCTGAGCATGAGATTTCTGTAGTGAATGTCAATAAATCAAAAGTAGGTTTGCAGCTGCTGCCGTGATCTTGGGCCAGTCGCAAGTTCTCTCAGAGCTGTTCTCTCAGGAGCAGTCCTCAAAAGAGCTCTCTCAGCCCCACCTACCTCACAAGGTGTCTGTTGTGGGGAGGGGAAGGGAAAGGAGATTGTAAGCCGCTCTGAGACTCCTTTGGGTAGTGAAGGGCGGGGTATAAATCCTTCCTCCTCCTCCTCCTCCTCCTCCTCCTCCTCTTCTTCCTCTTCTTGTAGCCCTTTTGAGACCAACTTTCAAGAGTCAAAGCTCCCTTCATCAGACTTTGGCTCTCGAAAGCTTCTACCCTGAAACTCTTCTTGGTCTCTAAGATGCCACTGGGCCCAAATGTAGCTGTTCTAGCTGCAGATCAACACAGGTACCTTCTGAAGCATGTAGTGTGCTGGGCCTTGAATGAATCAAAGTCCTATAGAAGGTTCGCCATGGCGGTTTCTGCCCCTCAAGGTCACCAGGAGCCGGTTCATCCTGTTGGAAAATTTGGTTAAAATAGTTAGATATTCAGAGTTTGCAATGGATCTTTGTTCCCTGGAGAGGAGGCATTTTCTTTCTGTGTAAAAATCTTTATTTCTAAAGGGAAGGGTACACGGGAAATCTACAAAATAACAAACATTTAAGACTACATCTTTGCTGTTACGGGTACAACAGACAGACTGACCACACAGTTGGTAATGGAGATTCTTCTTTCTTCTTGACCCTAGAAGGAAATCATCTGAATGCATTAACCAATGATTGTTAGTAAATAGGCTCCAGTTTCCTGGGCTTTCTTTCCACTGGCTTTGTGCCAGGTTCCCTTCCAGGTCAGTCTAAACGACAGCACACGAGGCAAACACATTAACCCTATAATGACCGAATTTACACCTTGCAACACACATATTTCCAATGCATCCTAGGGTGGCTCCCATGGCCTTCAGTCCATGGGGGACTTAACCTGTGTCAGCCGCTTCGCAAAGAACAGGTGCCGTCCTGCTCTCTTGCAGCTCATGTTTATTCCCGTGGGGCTCGCATAGGTTAAGTGCCCCAGGCATCATGCCCTTTTTCCGGTGGGCCCTTCCTCTTCCCCAGGAAGGGTTTGATTAATTAGGACTGACAGACGCTGCTTGTTTTGTTGCAGGAAACGAATGACGATTGAGCAAAGTCTGGAGCACCCGTGGATTAAGGTACAAAAAAAAAAAGTAACTTGGAATGCTGGCGTGAACAGCTCGACTTCTTGCCATTTGCACAGGCTCCTGGGCTAGACGGTGTTGCCACCTGGGTGGGGTGGGGCGTATTCCTGGAGCTCTTGCCTGGGTCATTGGGTCTACCTTGGCAGTGATTTTCCTGGGATCCCCTGCAAGAGTCAGAATTTAAACCCATCAGCCTTCTTTGCTGGGTGGGGACGGACGGACATGGTAGAGGTTTATAAAATGGTGCACAAGGTGGACAAAGCGCAGAGAGAGCGTTTTCCTCTCCTGTAATACTAGAACTCGGTTGCACCCAGTGAAGTTGATGGGCAGTAGGTATGGGACAAACAAAAGAAAATACTTTTACTCAGTGAGTAATTCAATTGCGAAGTTCACTGCCAGGTAGGTGGCTTTAAAAGGTTGATGTCCGATCCATGGAGGAGGAGAGGTCCACCAGTGGCTACTAGCTATGTTAAGTATAGGGAGCCTGCGTACACAGAGGCGGAAAAGCTCTGGATACCAGTTCTAGGAGGCCAACATCAGGAAAAGGCCTTGGCTTCTGTGCCCTGTTTCTTGGCCCTCTTGGGCTAGTGGTCGGCTACTTTGTGAAACGGGATGCTGGACTAGATGGATTAGCAGGCTCTTCTCATGTTGTTACTTCCTCTGTTTATTGTAAATTGGGGTAGTTCGAAGAGGGCTGCATGACTTTCCGTCATGTACCCTCTTTCTTCTGGTTCTGTAGCCGTTCCCCTTGTCTCCTCCCGGATAGCTGGTCTTGGGGACAATAAGGTATGAGTAACCTATAAATGATCCCTCTGGTTCTGCAGCAATGTTTTCCAGACTTCCTACCTTCAGAGGAAATTCTGCCCATTGGCCAAAGGACCCAGGTGCATTCTGGGAGATCCCAAAGAATGTTCTGGGGCGCACCTTCAGTTCATGCAGGGTGCAACCTGCCCCATGTGACCTGGGAGTTTGTCCAGAAACACGGCCCTCTTGTGTCCTCACAGTGCAGTAGAAGATCGGGAATTGGAGAGACAGCCTCCTTTCAGGGGAGCTTCTCCATGCTCTCTGACTTTCTCGTTGAAGGACCTTGACAGCTTCCCCAGCAAAGCCCCCTAGGTGCCCAGGGCATGGTTTGAAATCCATTGAGATGAAGAAATGGGGCAGGGGTGGGCGAGAACACAGTCCATGGTGGTTTTTCCTCCCTAAGCTTTTTTCCCTAAGGTTCTTCTCCCTCCTTGCCTCCAACTCCCTTGCAGGTGATCAAGAGGCGGAACGTCCGCAACGAAGAAAACAGCAAGAAGCCGGAGCGGCGGCGCCTCAAGACTACGCGGCTCAAGGAGTACACCATCAAGTCCCACTCGAGCATGCCGCCCAACAACACCTACGTCAACTTCGAGCGCTTCTCCAAGGTCATGGAGGAGGTGGCGGCCGCCGAGGAGAGCCTGCGTGAGCTGCAGCGGAGCAAGAAGTCCTTCCGGGAGGACATCGAGGCCCTGCGCTCCATCTACGAGGAGAAGGAGTTGTGGTATAAAGAGGAGAACGAGGCCATCGGGCAGGACCTTCGGCAGATCCGGCAGGACATGCAGAAGACGGAGGCCCTCAAGCGGCAAGCCCAGGAGGAGGCCAAGAGCGCCTCCTTGGCAGCCAATGGCTTGAAGAGGCGTTACCGGAAGCTCGAGAATCGCTACGAGGCCTTGGCCAAGCAAGTGGCTTCGGAGATGAAATTCGTGCAAGATCTGGTGCGTGCTGTCGAGCTGGAGAAGCTGCAGGGTGGAGAAGACGACTGCGGGATCCGCTAACGCAGTTCCTGGCACAGGGTTGGCGCTGCGCGGATGTGTGGATCTTGCCCAGCTTTGTTCTTTGGGGTCGTGCTCCCCCTTCCCCGGTTGAGTTTACCGACCCCAGGGCTGCGAAGGGCAGCTAACCCAATCCTCTTTATTTAATCACCAGTGTGGCTGCTTCCAAGACTACACAGCCCATCACGCAGTGCTCCCGTCGGGGTACAGTGCAGCTTGGGACTTGTAGTCTTTGGCAAACTGTGCGCTTATTATTATTATTATTATTTTTTAAGTATCTCCTGCAGATTTCCACCTGGTTTCAGCTTGGGAAGGGCACCTTTTTTTCTTTTCCTGGCTGATGCAGCCCCCTTCTGAGTCCTTTCTTGCCGAAGCAATCCCGAATGCCGGTTGCAACTCTGAAGTTCTTTTGCCAGCTTTGCTTGTGGATCTTCAAAGAAGCGACCATGTCGGAAATGACTGAGAACATGAGATCTGTTTGGCGGCTGAGGATCCAAGGGGTGTGTGTCTGGAGGCATCTTCCTGGCATAGCCTTTCTCCTCACCTTTGAGCTGCTGCCCATGTTGGCCTACCCATGTCCTCATGCAGAGAATGTGCCACGGAGGGCTGGCCTCACTTGTCGGAGACCCCGAGACCTTCGGCGCAGCATGCCTCATGCTGTTGTCTGGGTTCCAGAGGTTCATTCCACATTCCTAAGGGTCTGCCTAGGACTGTGGGCTGTATCAAGTAAGCCCTGGGGTGATAACAGGAGACGTGGCCCAGCCTAGCTAAGGATACCCCCCCCTATTTTTCTCTTAATGTCAACCACGTTTTATCGTTCAGTTGAAAAAGTCCCACGTAGAATTATTTTGGATCATGCCCTCGTGGTACAGTTCCTTTCTTAAGTGCCATGGGTGAGCGCTCCCACAATCCCTGGTTGGGGGAATCCAGCAAGTGCATACCACTGCAGAGGTAGTAGAGTGAAATCAGCCCCTTTGTGTGTCAGTTGTTTTATTTTAGCTTTAGGGCTAGATCGAAGGGGCTTGGGGAGTGGGTTTGGCTTGTTCTTGCCTTGTAACGCCTGGGTTTGTGCTTTCCCCAGAACTTGTGGGGTAGCGCAGGTATGCATTCAGGTGGGTGGGTAGGTGAGGGAACTCCACTGGGCTCTGGTCTGAAATCCTTCGTGACTTGACAGGTGAACCCCCAGGATGAAAGAGGGAATGAATCCCAGGTGGGACGAGGCCTGCAGGGTCCCACCTCCCTCTGCTGACAGCTTTAGGGTTTCCGATGTGCCGTCTGGAGGGTGTTTTCACGTTCCTCCTGTTTCTGCTTCAGGGTGAAAAGAGAGGCTCTGAATCCAGAAGGAGGGGGTGGAAAGCAGGGATGGATGTGGTCTAAACTGGTGTTACTGGTGGGGGAAACTAGCTCCAGTGGTGGCTGCGTTTTTGCAGGGTCCTTTTTGAGACCCCTGTGTCGACGGGATTGTCCTACAATCCAAGGTTGTGTGTGTGTGCACTCTCTCTCTTTCCGTCTCTGTCTGTCTCTCTCTCTGTGCAACGGGACGCCCTGTTCTGAATCACTCTGCCATGCAGCTTTGAGAAACCATCTCTTTTCCCCCCGGTCATGCAGGACTTTGGCTGGTCCTAGCAGCCTGCAGCCCCACATCCTAACCCGAGAGACGTCTGCCCCTGGCATTTTAGAGTTCCTCAAGTGCCATAAGGCCCCAGTTGTGTTTGCAGTGACAGAGTCAAGCCCCCCCCCCCCCCCCCCGACAAAACCAGGTTCTCTTTCAGCGGGGTCCTCCTTGCAGGAAACCTCGCTTTTCTGGGCTGAGGTGCGACCAGGAAAGGTCTCTGTGCTCGGCTTCCCTTCTAGGGTTGCCAGCCTCCAGATGAGAGAGATCAGTTCCCCTGGAAGCAACGGCAGCTCTGTGGCCTTGCGCCCCGCTGAGGCCCCTCCCAAACCCCACCTCCTTTGGGCTTCACCCCCAAATCTCCAGGAAATTCCCGAGCCAGAGTTGTCAACCTGACACTCTGATCTTTATCGCCGAGGTTGCAAACAAACCGCTACTCCGTTTCGCATTCACTGGAAGCTTATCTTCCGCCTCTGCTGCCTTGTCGATTCTCGCGCTTCCCTTTTGTCTGTCTGCCTTCTGCCCCAGGGCCTGTTGTTGACTCTCAGGTTAGATGCCTCTGCCTTACACTGCCTGTCCATCCAGCCCACGATTGCCTCCTCTGACCTGCAGCATGCCGAAGGTCTTGGGGTCTTTTGTAACATCTCAGATCCTTTAACCGGAGACGGGGGTGTGGGGGGGTGTGAGCCTTGAGATTGTGTGTGTGTGCGCTCTGTTGCTGAACTGTGTCCCTTACCCAGAGAACCACAGTGTGTTCTCAGGCTGGAACCCAGAGACGGACATCCCAGGTCTAATCCACCAGGCTGCTGTCCCGCCGTTTTCCTCTTAAACAAAGCCCTCCCTCTTCTTCCAGTTCTGATCACTACACCGCTTGATCGACCCCACTTTTGACAAATGGCCTTTTGGGCAGAGGGTTGCACCCTGCTGTCTCTGGGGAGGGAAAGCCTCCTTCCCCCTTCTTCTTAGCCTCGACCCACAGGGGGGGGGGGAGAGAATCCTTGCAACGACTTTCTTTTTCCCTTTCCTGGAGCCAGCTGCAGTGAACTTTGCACCGCGCAAATGCTTGCGTTGTCGGCCTGGGCTCAGTTGCTGTTTGCATTTGGGCCTCCAGGCCTCAGTGTGAAAGAGCAGGAAGGTTGGTGGCAGCTGCCGATCACCCCGTTTTAGCAAGAATCATACAGACGTCCTCCGTCAAGGCCCTTAAGAGCAGCCCCTGCTTCCACTCCCATCTCCTTAGACTGCAGCATAAGGGAAAGTGAGGCAATTGAGAACCATCCGTGGGGAGACTGTGGCTGCCCAACTTAGCGAGCGTCTGGGTCTTCCTTGTGGAAGGACATCGAAGACTGTAAATTTACCCCTCTGTGGGGAAGGGTTTTGGAAGATTCGCTGCCTGCTTTGTTCTGAGTAACCTCTTGCCTTAAGCTTGACTTAAACTGTGATGCCGCTGGGTGAAGCAAAAGCGCTGGTGTGGTGGCTCAACTGGGCTCTGTCCCGAGGGAGGCCTCGGTTTGAATCTTGCTTCTGCTTCCAATTCACTTGGGAGCCTTAACGCAAGCTCTGTCTCTCTCAGCCTCGGCCTTCCCATCTGAAGCAGGGGGATATGAGTGGGGTTTTAACCTGAAGCAGGCCCGTAGCCAGGATTCGGGGGCTTGTGGGGCAAAGGAATTTCTGGCGGGGCGACCATTATTTTCATATCGGCTCCAGTCCACCCCCAAGCCCGACAGCTGCCGGCCACCCCCTCCCTCCCCCCCTC